GGAATGGCGTGAGCTTCACATTCCAGGGTAAGGCTGTGGTTTACTTTGATCTTCACTTCTTTAGGGGAGAGACCCATCCCTGAGATATCCCCTTTGTTAATGGTGGGTGGAACTGCACAAAAACAGAGGGAGCAACAGGGACTTCCATGACTTATTGGCTTATGCAGCATTTCAAAATTAACTGGACAAAGGGAAATCCTGGAAGATAACCTCAGGGAAAGCAAGTGCATTCCCCCTATAATCTGCCTCTTCCCCACAGCTGAGTTTTTATTTTTTTATATATATATACATGCATTTGAAACTATTTTTAGCATACGTATATATATAAAAATATATAAAACTGTGTTCAACAGTTTTAGACGTGCAAACCTGACTACAGCCTTACCCAGCTATAGCACTTTCTTATGTGTTTGGCTTAAATACTATAAAGTTCAGTGTACTACAGTCATTAAAAAGCACTTTAATGGAAACTAATATTCTCAGAAACATATGTTTGAACTGAAGTCCACATTCAGAGTAGCTGGTCAAAACTCAACATTTCCATTCCACTGAAATCCCAGTGTTGCAAAATCTCATTTCCTTCCCAATCAGAATGAAAACAGAGCATTTCAAAATTCTTAAGCTACCCCCCACCCTGGTCTCATAATATCTTTCAAATTATTTTAAATGCCTTCAAAGCATTTTCCATTCTTTTTTCAACGGGACACTTTAAATTCTCCCTAATGCTTACAGTACCACAATAACTGACAGTTGCAATGGTATTTGGGGGTGGAGGGCTTTATGTTGCTACATAGCCATACTTCAATAATGAACTCTTTTGTCATCTTCTCATTATTCCAAATCCAATGGGGCCTTATTAGGGACTTAGTGTAATTAAAATAACAGCACAGTTACTGTGAAGGAGCAAACCAAACTGCAATTCAAACTAGGAAATAAAAAAAAAAAAAAAGATGAAAAAATCATGCTTGACTGAGCTCTTAAAGAAGAGTTTGAGCATTAAAACAGAGTATTAGGCACAGATGCTTGAAGGACAATGTGCTGACAGGAAGCCTTGAATGGGGAAGCTTTTGTGCATATGGTGTTTTACAGAAGGTTATAAAAATAGTATCCTCCTGTTTTACCTTCCTCAAGAAAGTTTCCCATTAGATGTTACACGTCTCCTCCCCTCTTTTTTTTTTTCTAAAATAGGTTCTTTGCTCATGATTTTCTCTGCTCACATCTCCCATTGTGCTGCACTCGTCCTATTTGAAAATCATTACCAGAAAAAGCACTTCAGAAGAAACTGGAGTTCAGTGCTTCTTAAATGTCTTCCCCTGGGTGGTATAAAGATTTTTAGCCCAACAGCAGTATTTGTAAAAGGATGTGACGGCAAACTTTTCTAGTGTCTTTCCTCAAGCAATGCCATGAGCTAAGGCAGATGTTTGCTAAGCAAAGCTACTAACAAAAATCCTTGTATTCACCAGGATAGGTAACACTGCAAAGGGGATAAAATGGAAGAATGCAAAAAAAAAAAAAATTGAAAAAATTTAGAAGTATTTCCGTACTGTAGACTTTCACTTCATAGTGTTTCAAAGCTTCTCCAGCCTCATTTGTGGCTATACAGGTATATCTTCCAGCGTTGTCCTCCTGCGCATTTAGAATCTGCAGGGTTCGGCCACCTGTCAAAACACATCATTCTTTAATAGCATCTATGTTATACTCTTGCTTCTCAATGATTTAAATAGTTTCTGCAGCATATTTTCAACCCATTGGTCCAAATCTTGCCCTTAGATAAGCATGAAAAACTGATTGCTTACCACCATGTATACTGCGTAATAAATGAACGCGCAATTTGCAGGAGTGCTTTGGATCACAACTCCTGTTGCTTACAGATTCTTGGAAAATTTGCCTATATAGTTCTGTACAAGAAATTTCTTGAAGCTATTTAGCTAGGAAAAAGTGATTTAGGGTTCTGCATTTCATTCACAGAAAAAGGGAAAGGAGGTATAATCGGTAAGACTAAGTGAAAAGGGACTATTCAACATACGGGGCGGATGTGAGCCTCTGAGCTGCCTTTCTGTTTCAAGGCCCTTAACTCCCTCTGGAGAATGGACAGAACCAACAGCCACAGCGCCAGAAGAAGTGTAACCATGAATGAATTGGTAGGATTTAAGACTTTAGGTGGCCTCTACAACTTTGACATCCATCAATTTCCTTCCCATAGTATCCTGTTTATTCATGATTTATATTGTCTGTCTTCTCAGAGATAAGTCACTATTCCATTTGCCTGCAGCTTTTTTCACACCGCATTCCTAGAAATTGTCCCCCCATGTTGTAATTCAATTCCTCACTATCAATATCGACTCATTCTTCCTCTGAACACTTGCAGTTAACAATCTTAAAGTACTTGTTCATCTACATTACTTCAGTGTTACCAGCAAAGCTTGTTCTTGTTTTCCACCTCCATACATGTGCTAGGTAACAGTTCCTCCACTAATTAAAAATGGCAAACCACTAATGACCTGGAAAAATGCCACCTCATTCTTTTTACTAACGTTGTTGTTTATGTCCCTCTCCAACTGATTTCCACACTTAATTTCAAGTTATTGACATTCATTATTAATTTCAATGAACTTCTTTGCCATCATTTAGCTTTACGGAACAAAAGGATAAATACCTGAATACAAATAAAATAAAAGTAAATAATCAGTTAATTGTGAAGCACTTAAAAATATTGGAATGGGAAGTGCTACAAAAGTACAAACATGGCACTTAATAGAAATACATCCTTAAAAAAAATCTGTAACAGGAAACTAAACAATAAAAGAATAAAGTATTATGTTATTTCTCAATAACAAAAAATTTACCTGGCAAAATGCGGATATTTCTGTTTGATTCTAAAAGATTACCATCTTTCAGCCAGGTGATTGTAGCTGGAGGATACGAGTAAGCCTCACAAACCAGCGAAGTTGGGCTGTTGAGGATAACACTGACATCTTCTGCATTTCCATGGCTGTCTGCACCCACAATGGTTGGAGACACTAGGAACAACAAAATCATTAACCAGAGGAAGGATCTCTATGAAAAGCCCATTTTCTGTTCCCCATTCAAGTCTAGGAAGCTGGTTGCAGCCTTAAATAGCTGGGAGGCATTCCTATGAGGCGCACTGAAGCCCAGAACCAGACAACAGTTTTATGTTTTGTCCCAAAGTTGACGGTCAGCCTGTGTCGGTGGAATCCAGCCACCCTTAGCCTTTGTCAAACACAGGTCACTAGAAAGCCAGCCACCACTTCTTGCGTGGCGGCTGGCAGCCCCGTTGCCTGATGATCCTGTGAACAGCAGATCGGTAGGAGGCATGAACCTAGGAAATGAGGATGTGGAAAACAAACTCGGCATTGTTTGCATTTAGTTATGCAATAACTGTCATGAAAAAAAAAAAACAAGCTGCAGATGGTTTCAGCTTTTATGAAGAGATCACAATCTGAACTGCTCTTCAGATAATTCCTTCCTTGAATCACAATAAGTCAATGTGCTGTCCTGCTCACTCCATACAGACAATGTTCTGCTATAGTCCCATGTTTTCCAGCTCTAGATTGTCTAAAGCACAGAACTGCTGTTTCTACTGAACTATTATTATTTATCAGTTACTAAGTTATAAAATTTTAATCGTAGACAGGCAACTTACACATTGCTGTAATTAAAGTACTACAAAATTCCAATGTGATTATCTGATCTTTCCCCCTGAGATGAATATTTTCTCTGCAAGAGCCAGCCCAGCTGTCTTACCAAGCACATTAAGACTGTAACTTTTGCTCTTATCTCCAGCTGTATTGGATGCAATACATGTGTATCGCCCTGTGTCAGTGACTTGAGCATTGGTGATTCGCAGGAAACGCCCACTGGACAGAAACTTGTGATCTTCATCCTCAGTGAGAGATTGCCCATCCTTTATCCAGGTGATCTGTGGTACAGGGTTCCCTTAACAGAGTAAAGAAAAGCACAAATATCAGTTGTTGCAGGATATGCCAAGATTTCTGAAAAACATAAAAATACAGTTTCAGATGCCCTTTTAAAATACATCCTTTAGGGAGGTGTTTTGGAATACACATTCTAAAGTCTTCAAACCTCCTGAAGCAATACATGCCTCCTCTTAAATTCCACAGGACTTTAGAGAAGAAATATCACAACAACTATTGTCTTGGTTACATTTTATACAACTTTTATAAAGAGGAGTATTTAGTCCTGCTATAAGCATCATGGTTAAATTTGAAATTTAAAAATTCCACTAAATGGAAAATTCCATTGAAAACATGCTGTTCAGAATGAATGATAATTGACACCATGGGTTTGATCAGCAAAGATAAGTAATATTGTCTACTTTTACCTATCACTTCACATGTTAGGGTAACTCCGTGCTTCTCTTTCACTTTCACATCTTCCAATTTATTTTCACCCACAATCTCTGGAGGCACTGCAAACAGACAAGAAGACAAGAGCAGTAAGTATTACTTAGAATCATAGAATCATTATGGTTGGAAGAGTTCTCAAAGATCATCAAGTCCAACCGTACACCCAATGCCACCATGCCCGCTAAACCCACTAAACCACGTCTCGAAGCGTCACATCTAAACGTTTTCTGAACACCTCAGGGATGGTGACTCCACCACCTCCCTGGGGAGCTTGCATCCAATTTAAACACAACAAAGACACGCTCAGGCTGTATCTCAGCATATGCTTCCCTTAATCTCATGAATCGATGACTGGCTCAGATCTACCAGAAACAGATCCAGATGCGAGACACTGTAGAGCTAACCTGCCGGGATAACAGATACGCACTCTGTTCTGCACCCCTTAACCATACAAGTCCACGCAAAGGGCAAGAGAGGACCACAGACCCATAAAGTACTCACCTCACTTCGCCTTCAGAGCTAGAGAGATACTCAGGGCGCTGCAAAGTATGGTGTGTAGGGCAACATCTCTGAGTATAGTTAGTAGGGCAATGGTGATGGGCACTTGTTAGCGGGGCCACATTTGATTTGATGCACCATCAGGTTTTATAAGTTTGTAAACAAGTCTGTCACCCCTATTAAGCAGCAAGTGATTTATTTGGTCAAAACCTGTGCTTAAGTTTAAGAGTTGTTTATTTTCCAACAGTAATTGAACAGATTCAATTCTGTTAATTAATTAATTCCAACAGTAATTTCCAACAGCATCTATCTAGAACTCTAGGGAAAGTCTTGATTTATTAAAAAAAAAAAAGAAACACAACACAAAACAGTCAGCTTCTCTATGTATATATCATGTGAGGTTTCTTTTTTCCTTACCAGCATGCTCAAAGGAATACAACAGATTACCACAAGTGGGGGCAGTATAAAGGCATACATGTGTTTTATGCAAACACAGTTAATACCATACAGGTAGGTAACGAACTATATACGTCTAAAGGCATCTTGCTGCAGTACAAACTATATTTCTCTAGGGAAATAGAAGACCATACCCTTTAAAACATCTACCCATCCCCCAAATAGCCAGCTCAATGCAAGGAAACTCTTACTGTATTGCTGACCACTTGATAACATGTTTCTAAATAATCTTGGTCAACAGGACTGCATGGATTCAGGTGCTTTTGGATGAGGGAGGCCAGATTATGAACGTGTGGGTGAGTAGCTGTGGTGGTGAAGAGCTCTGATCAAGTATTTCTTTCAAAGTAGAGGCATTTGTAGATTCAGGCCAAAGGAAAATGGTACTACAAATCAAAGTAGGCATGGAGTGTAACAGGTTGAAAAGGTCTACACTTATAAGAAAGTAAGCCCAATCTCCACGAGATTTTGGAAAGTTTTGTAACAAAAATGCTGGACTAGGGAGCCAGATACTACACTTTAATAATCCTACAAAATGGAAACTTTCAGCCCAGATAAAAGACCTAAAGAGACAGAAATTAAAATACATTCAGCATCTTATTTGTGATCTACCACTGAGTTGGAAGCTAAAGTTTTATAAATACAAGAACCAAGGTAATATTCAGAATTCATTGCCAACCGAGAAAAATAATGTAACACCAGATTTTTGATACTAATGAAGGGTACAAACTAGGGTGAAGAAAAAAAAAATTTGAAAGAGGTTTGCATCTCACTTGACTAGAATGGCAAAGTATTACTTCAGCGTGGCTAAAAGTTGGCCTCTGAACAGGCCACATGGTGAGATGCACGTTAGTAGAATTTAGCATGCAGGAAGATGTGGCCAGTACGGGCACTCACATCAACAAGACAAAGACACATCAACTAGTGAAGGAATTAGATGGGGGAAAATATAACCTAAATTCATAAAGTTCAGGACTTTTAAGTCAGGCCAAAAGTTACTCTTTATAAACAGAGCAACTCATCGCTTTGGCCCCAAAATAATACAGTAAGATGTCAACACATATTAATTTCAGAAATACAACAAAGCCATACCAAACATTTTGTAAATATAGAAATATTATGCTTATTACACCAAGCTCTCCGTGCAAACTGGCTCGCCTGTTGCACCTCCTACAACAATTCAGAGAAACACTGGTGTATCTCTGTACAATTCCTATTTACAGTGAGTTGGTGAATATTCCGTGTCGCTATCAGGCCACATTCCAGTAACTTTCCTCTTGAATGACAAATTACTAGGGAGAGGGAAGAGAAGAATGAACAATAGAATTTTCCACTTAGGCCACTTGAAATCAGCTTCACTGAGCATTTTTCTTCAAGACAAACAAAGCCTATGCAATAGATTCCCAGAACCCTCAAGAACACCCTGCTACTAAAACCCTCCAAAGAAAACAGTAAAACAATGAATACTTTTCAGTGTTTATCCATCTATTCCATTCTACCAGATTACACTTCCATGAGCTCATCAAATAAACATGAACTGACATGAATGCGAGTTATCATTTACAGGCTGAATATGTGTAAGTCAGCTGAAGGCAAGGGAAGCTGATAGTGCTCAGCACCTTAGAGAAAAGAAATGTACAGGAAAATTATATACAGTAATGTTGTAAGACAACCTGCATCAGGCCTGGTGATTATTGATAAAAATAGCAATTAGTTACTAAACCAAAAAGCAGTATTTTCTGGGAAAAATAGTGGTTTTTAGAAATAAGTAACGTGACAAAATTACACGTTAATGATTCCATAGCCATCTAAAGAGCCTGCTGTACCAGTCCTTGTCTAAATACGTTAGCAGGATCACCCACTACCACACTTGGTTTATATCCTTTACAATGCCAAAGGCTCTACTGACTGAAGGTTTCCACTGGATCAGAGATCTCTATTTTGCAAAACCAATTCCAGTGCCAGTGTTTAATTTCCCTGTCAGTCATGGCTCTGCCTTCACATCTTTGTTACAATAGATTATTACCATCATGCCGCTCAGCTATACATATCATAACCAGTGCACACAGTCATGCTGGTTTTAACTCATGAGTATTTTCATATGGGGTTGCAGCTTTCCACATCTGAGCATTAGATGCAACAGATTCACATGAATATCATATGGTTTCCTGGGGTCGTAGTTTTCTTTTGACTTAAACCAGCTTAAACTCAGGCCGGTGCCAAAAGAAATAGCACTAGTGCCCTGACCACTCACTCTTGTCATCTTCCTTTCACCAATATTGGCATGTCTAGGCAGTATGGTGAACCATCAGGGAACTGATGTGCCTGAAAACTAACCTGGGCAGGAAAACACCAAACCCCCACCTTTCCAGATCACCTATAAACTGACTCACCTTGTTCATCACACCCCAGGGAGAGTGAAGCTATGAGCAACAAGAAACAGAAGAGAGGATGGGAGTCCAGCTGTGGGTATCTCCCAGACTTCTATCCAACTGGAATAACAACCTAGCTAAGTCAGTTATACTGACATAGTTCCTTTTCAGAAAAGGAACAAACAAACCACAAAACAGAAGCAGCTGATAGTTATTCCAAAATTATGCCTGAAGAATCTTCATTTAAAAAACTAAACAAACAGCAAATTCACATGTAGAAGTAACTGCTCTTTAAAACCTGATTTTGCTGACCGTGTTATCAAATTAACTTTTTTTTTTTCCCTAACGATATCTCTTTTGGCATAATTTTTTTTTTTTTATTAAAATACCAGTAAAGTATACAGTAGACCCCCTCTCATCTTCTTCTATTGTAACAAAAACTATCACGTACTTACCTAGAACAGAAAGGTCAAAATCCTTCCTCACTTCTCCTGCAGCATTGGTCACTACACAAGTATATCGACCTTCATCCGCTACACTCGTGTGAGTCAAACGCAGCGTTCTGCCCCCTGAGGAGAAAGCCAAAAAACCTACAATCATTAAAGTTCTGCTCCAACCAACATGCTCCCAAATCATCTGTGCTAACGCTTAAGGGGTCTTTTATGGTTTGGTTAAATTTACAGCTGTAAATTTTTTTTAGTGTGGTCTATTTTTTTAACGTGCTTTGTTTTGTTGAAGAAACAGCAAGAGAAAGTGACTGACCTTACTCCTACTCCCATCATTTCTGTACGTCTGCTCAGGCCTTCAGCTCCTCAGTGCTTTTAGATCTGTGCTTAATACTGATCATACTATTCATTCTAGTCAGTAACTTCCAAACTACCCGGACATCTATCTTTTTTTTTTTTTTTTTCCTTTCCTCCCTCTCCAGAAATTACATTTAAGTGAACTTTGAGGCATTCAGACATTTTCTGACAATTTCTAGAGGAAGTCAGAAACCAACTGGAACAATCACTGAAAACTTCAAGCCACATCTGTAAGAGTTTGTGCAGAGCAAATCGAACCTGCTCCATGCAGGGCACTCCAACTACATGCAGGGGTACAGCACACACATAATTCATCGATCAGCACAGACACTTGGGATGTGGCAGGAACACCATGTTTGCAATAGGCAAGATTTGTGCATGTACTTCTCTGCAGGAAATTTTGACAGAATACAGTGTCTCAGATGGCAGGATTTTCATTCACATGAGTACTTTGCTATACTGAGAATCTAGATGACTGTACAGGAAAAATAATCAAGTCTCGTCAGAGGAGGGGGTGAGCATGTGTACACATAAAAATAAGTTTATTTTTATAAACGCATACAAACAGTCCTTAAAGATATTTTCACATGTATAGATAGGGAATAAAATTCCATTCTTCTCTTCTAGCATTTGTATTGATTGTGCTGTCAACAATAAAAACAGCTGACAACAGTACTGGTTTACATGTAATGTTTTAAAAGAACAGATTTCTCTTACCACTATAGCAGAGCAGTTGTCAGAACACATTTGCAGAGGCATGCTAGTTTAAAGGAGGAAGATTTGCAAGTGTGTTTGACCAAAGGACCAAGAATAACCCCATTTTGTCACAGCACAGTGACTTCGTTTTGCTTCCTTTTTGGCAGAGGAACAGCAAAACAAACATCAGTGAGCATTTAAGTGTGAAAACAAATGTGGTGGCCATCCTTCAGCTTTTTCCAGTTTCTCATTAGCAGCTCTCACATTAGCAATCATTACCACACAGTCCGTCCCCTCTGAACTGCGCACCTCCTGCCTGCGCATATCCAGAGGGTCTCATTGTTGAGATACATCTCAGAAATTCCTGTTCCTGGTCATGTACTTTGAAGGAAGAAACTGCTGACCTGGTTCATGGATGTGCCTCTACCCAAGGAATTCTGCCTGCTGGAGGGAGTACGGTGAGACTGAGGAAGACTCAGTCCTTGCAGCCTCATGTCACCCTCGTCCCTTCTCCCATCCACACCGTGAACAAACCATACAAGAAGCAAAACGAAGCAGATACCTGCCTGCAGGAGACACTAACTTTCTCTGGTATCACATACCGTAGCATACCCAGGGCTCCAGGGCTGAGGCAGGATATGATTTTCTACATTTAGCTAAAACTCAGTAAAAGTTTTTCTCCTTCCTAAAGCTAGTATGCAGCTTAGTGCGTGGTCTGCAAAGAAAGCAGATATGGTATGGGGGAATTTTCTTCTTTCTTTTCTAAAGGACATGTAGGAAGCATCATTAAAAGGAAACATCAGCATAGTATCTGAATTAACAGATTAAAAGTTGCCAGCAGTGTGTCCACACATTTAAATCATCTGCAATGCCAAGTATGTTTTCAATCAACAGAACCAAAATCTTGTTTTGGCACAGTATTTTACCTCCTAAATTAGTTGAAGAGGGGGATTTTTTTCCTGTTGTTTTTGTTTATTTACAGCTGTACAAGCACAAATAAAGTTCCAAATGCCATATTGGTTACAGTTCCCTACCACAACATGTAGTTTTCTGAAGAACTGCACAAAACCACAAAGTTTGCTGGAAAACAAAGCACCGAGTTCTGGCCTGTTTCCCTACTCCCACTGAGCTAACATTCAGAGACAATAAACATCTTTTTGTCTCTCATCTTTCCTGACTCTGCAATTGGGATGGTGATATTAGTGTGGGTGCAGAAATCAACAGAAAGAACAGAAACAATCAAGCCTAGAACACATTATTTTTGTTGATGGCAACTTCGAATGAAAAGGAATGCATACCAACTCAGAGAGTCAGATTTATACTGGATAACAGACACCCACTCCTTTTTCCATGCACCATACGTAAAAATGGGAAAGCAGAAGACAGGACTACTTGTAATGTTAAAAGCTACACTGATGAAAAAAGCCCTGAAACAGTTCAGTTTCAAATCCAGTCTTGGTTGAGGTTCTAAACACCTTCCAGTTCCTTTACCTGTGTGATAGTTTTCTTGTGTTTGTTCATGGTGTAGGATGGCTTGGCTTTGCATGGAGGCTATGTCACGGTATTAGAAACTTCATCAAAATGTATTTTCATGAGATTTCTAGCTGCGAGTGGCAAACCCAAGATCAAAGAAACATCTCAGTTGTAACCAGATACTTAAATACTTCTACGCACTCCACAAAGCTGATCCCCAGACGCAAGAAGTCAATGCAGAAGGTATTGCCCACTTGGTACACATTTTCTGTTTGCAATCTCCAGGGCTGCTAACTCAATTTCCTATTGTAAACACAAAGCTTTAACATCGCTGCAGCTGCCAGTCAAGTACTCTCACTTCCCTACGGTATTGCAGGAAGATGGTTTATAGGAACAGGTACTGAGCCCCTCCTATATTGGACATGTGTCTCTCTCAATTACTACTGTCATAAAAAGGCATCTGAATTAGTTCTTCATAGGTTATTCCAGCTTGAAAAATCAAGATCCCCGATGAATTGGCTCTTTTTCTCCACTTGCCTATTGTAAGTTTCTCCAGATCCCTTCCACTAGTCACCTTGCTAAAGCAGCGTTCTGTGCTATCTTTGATGACCTAATTCCAGCTTTTATTAGATGATATTCTGAAGATCAGATTCAGTTAGCTGCAAGACCAGGAAGTATTTACATGCACTAATTTCTGAGGCTCATGAACAGGTTTCCCTTTGGTTTTATACACAGGCCCACAGAAAGGAAAGATGTGTTTTGTTTATTGTCATTTGCATTCATTCTCTCAAAGATTTTTCCTCTTTAAAAGGTAAAATAACTAGGAAGAGACAGAGAAAATTAATCAACTGAGAGAGCTAATGCACTTTACATATTGGCACTGACAAAGCAAGATGTTACCACCTGACATATTTCTGGAAATAAGCATTGGACTAACACACACTAACAGCCAGAATTACGGCTTAATCCGTGTCACAGACGAAGCAGTTACCATGCCTTTGACCCATACGCATAAAGGTTGGTAACAACTTTAAATGTTTCCGTTAGCTATTCACCAGGCACTCCAGCCAATCTGACCCCATTCACTGAAAAGCTTGGCACTGAATAACAGTTTCTCTTCTCTCCTTGTCTTTACAGATTATTAAACCAAATCTGCTTTCATAGAATCATAGAATCATAATGGTTGGAAGAGACCTCAAAGATCATCAAGTCCAACTATATACTCGATGCCACCATGCCCGCTAAACCCACTAAACCATGTCTCGAAGCGCCACATCTAAACGTTTTTTGAACACCTCCAGGGATGGTGACTCCACCACCTCCCTGGGGAGCCCTAACAGTGAAGAAGTTCTTCCTAATATCCAGCCTGAACCTCCCCTGGCACAATTTCATGTGAAATACCTGCTCTATAGATGCAGAGGGCCCTTCACTCCCATCCCTCCCTTTTAATAACTACAGTTGTTTTACCTGAGAGGATTCGCATTGAGTTGTTCACAGTGACAGGCCATCCATACTTGAGCCATGTTATTGATGGCAAGGGAATTCCTGAAGCTTCACAAACCAGAGAGACGGGATTCTTCTCCACAATGCTGATGTTTTCCGGTATCTGCAGGTCACCAGCGATACTTGGGGGAACTACAGAACAAGAGTAAAGAAAAGCTGTACTTCAGAACAAATAGAAATTAAAACATTCTGTCACCCAAATAATAATTCACTGAAGCTAAGATAAGCTTGGCAAGTGAAGAGCTACAAAACGGAGACATTTAATACTACATAGTAATGACAATTTCTTACTGCGCAACTGCATGGAAATATTAGAATTAAAGTCTATCAGTTCTATTACCTTTATTTTATGGCTTAAGATCCCTAGCGAACAACAGTTTATAGCAGTTCTGTCCATTCTATGCTAATTTTAACTTCCAGTATCTAATGAAACACTAGGGAAAATTCTAACACTGACAGAATTACGTACTTTTTCTAATGGAAAGAACAATTCACCATTAAAATAACTACCACAAATTTATTTTTAGCTTTTCTTTGCTAGGGATAAGAATATTCCTTCTTTGGAAGCAGTTCTGCCTTTCATACTTTAGAACATAGAGCCTAGGGTCAAGAACTGACCAACATCCTTCAGCACCCTGAGTAGCTTGAGGACATTTAGTTTCTTTTTACTACCCAGAAGTTTGATAATACAGTACAGCAAATAGTCCAAATAAAAAAAATAGATAAATAAAACTGGTAAATAATTTAGGCCTCTCATTTTCAATAATAATTCCTGTATTTACTTTCACAGTAAAACATGAATATTCTGTGTTCAGTGAAGCATAAAAAAAATCATATGTAAAAGAATTACAGCGGCTGTAAAATAACGTGATGTTCCCATCAATTCTATCAAGTCAGATTATGGAGAAGAATTATAGTTGGAGGTACCATCTTTAAATTCTTCTGATTGCGTAAAATGAGAGAACCTGACAATTAGGCACTTGAGATACTGACTATGCTCAGGTAACGCTCCCCTGGCAGTGGCCACTAGCAGGGCGCTGTCGGTTAAACCTTGTTTCTATCTCCCACAATAGAAGATTTCCCACCATGACGCTCCCTCCAACATTGTATAAAATTATACCACAGCATGGTTTTCTCCTCTCAGGAGATGGAACAACTGGGAGTGGATCGATATTAACAAGGACAGAGGTAAGATTTTAAAATATTCAGGAGTTATAAAATTGGATTTGGATTTTCATAACTGAAACTGCATGACTGATCTGTAACTGAAACCGCATCACATGTAAAGCCTGCAATAGGTACAGGTGGTGCACTTGGCCACACACCTATTTCTTGGATGTCCTTTGGTGAACTTAAAGGTCTAATTTGTTTCTGTTCTGCCTGTCCCATTTTGCACATACTTACCATGAACATTTAAATCGTATTTTCTGTCAGACAGCCCTGCCGCATTGGCAGCAACACAGACATAGCGGCCAGTGTCTGACACCTGGGCGTTTTTCAGTTGAAGAAAGCGACCATCATGAAGTATCGCTAAGTCCCTTCCACTGACCAGCGGACGGCCGTCCTTCATCCACGTTATTGCTGGTTCTGGAATGCCCTGTACCTTGCACTCCAAGGAAATTTCATTTCCTTGGGTGACAACAACTTCTGATGGGTGGCTACCACTATTTAATATAGTTGGCCGAACTACAAAAGAAAAAGAAACAGAATACAGAAGTCAACCGCAAGCTACATTTCAGGATTTTTACCTGCTTCTGAACAGAACAACAATCAAGTTTGCCAGATCAGCATTTTAGTAAAGACCAGTTATTGCAGGTTACTGCTGGCAAATCAGTTAGGGGCACTCTGCAAATCACAGCATTTTCCACAGGACTGAGAAGACATGAGTAATCTCGTCTCCTCACCCTCCACTCCATAAAGTAAAAATGTTTTTTAAAATGTAACTTACAGGCAATTTTTAAAACTCAAACAGGAGAAAAAATTAAATTAAAAAAAGACTGCTCCAAATGTTGTCAATCTCTCCAGATTTTTGAAGATTTTCTCTTTCATGGGATTCTTTAAAAATACCTGCTTTTATTCCTGACCGAAATAAAGAAGTAGCAGCAAATTCTAAGGGAAATCTAAGTTCAATTACTTGTCATCACTGCTATAGTTTGGTGACAAGAAACATTACACTACCTCATGGGGTTATAACCCTGTAATCATCTGGGGTCAAATGCACTTTCAACAGGTATATGCAATGTCTTGGTCAAGCTCCGACTCCAAACTGCTGGAATTCTAATGACTTACCATTTTCCACGGAGTAACCTTAAATTGTCCTATAGATAGACATTACTCTGAAAATCTTGCAGCTTAACTTTACTGTACTGACACCACCTTCATAACGTAACTCTATTGCAGAACTGGTAAACTATGAACAGAATGTTTCACAGTAACTTACTGTATACTTGCAACCTGTATTCTTTCTTTGTACTTCCAGCTACATTTGAAGCAGTACAAGTGTAAGATGCAGCATCAGACTTTTCAGCAATTGAAATTTGTAGCTGTCTGCCTCCAGATAATATCCGCACCCTTCCCGAAAGGTCAGCCACCAGTGGAGAGCCTGCAAGAGACATTCTTTCAGATAAAAACACAGAAAATGGTAACAAGCTTGCTCACATGGTGTGAAGTCCACTGGCTCATTAAAAAAATTACTAAGCTGCACAATTGTCCATTTTAGAACCATTCTATCAGAGTTTTCCCAGACATCAGAAACTTCACATAAGCAGGTTCTGGGGACTTCCCATGTTAATTGCTGACTTCACGACATACAGCAACCTGAGCTAAAGCACAATAACTCTCACCACACTCGCATCCATCCAGAAAGTTCCGGATACTTCCACTGAACAGCAAATTCAACACTTTCAGTAAAATCCAACTCATTGTCCAGTATATAATCGTCTCACCCAACAGAGTCAGTGCTTAGAAACATGTCATTTAGTTTTCCCAGGCGGATCATCTGTGTATTGTGTGTCACACAGCATATGTGCCTAGACTTCTGCCCAGGAAATCCTCAGCAGAAACGTGACAGCAGAATAATATTACTTTCTCTGAGTAAAATTTTCAATCTTGGAGACCTCAGAGTAGGCAACTATCTTCATCTTTACAGGCAGGCTTTGTGACAGAAGGAATACAGCGGCCACTGATAATTCTTACAAGCTGAATTTTCATTTCCCACTTGTGCATTTAGAATCCTCTCTATGAAAAAGTGCATCAAATGTCAAACATGATGAAAAATCTGGCTCTCGAGTAACATTCAAAACTGTACTCATTTCTAACTGTCTTTCTAGACTTTCCGACGGCTTTAAGTTTCCTTTCTGCCATTTAAGTGTCATACAATGACTTTTTGGATTCCAAGAGACAGGGTTTAAAAAGAACTTCATAAGCTTCATTTTCTCTGAAAATTTCATGCATTAGAAAAAGTCTTTTGGAATTCAAATCTGCTTTTTCCACAAGTCAAAATTAATTAAGGTAGGCACATACCACACTGAATTGTGCCATCTAGAAAAACACAGATGAATAGGTGATTGATTAGTAACACAAGAATTACCACACTGGAAGAGTTCAACATCTTATTTTGTCTAATATTCTGTCTCCAACAGTGCCCAAGCTTAAAAGAAGGTGCTAAAATACCAGTTTTTGCCTACTGATTCCTAAGAAGGTGTTTGTCAATGTTATTTTAACCCCTAAAGCAAAAAGGTGTGCAGACTACTCTTAAATATTAAGACGGGATGAGAGAAAGGTTCAGTAAATCCCAAAAGCAATTACTACAACTAGATGCATTTTCATCACTTGGCAATATGCCACATCTGCAAATTTGAGAATAACTCAGACAACACATCTATGTTACGCAGTGGATCACAGGGGAGAGACCCTCAACTCAACACCACAGGATTTCAGAAATCCCTGCTGGCTGGGATCCCACAAATAAGTCTTGATGTTGTCTTGCTGCACCGTGGTAAATAAGCATATTGAGAGAGGTTAAATGCTTCACAGTCCATTTTTAAGTCAGCTCAGGAATCTTTGGACTGTGCTTCTCTTGTACAGCTTTAGGAATAATGACACCTAATCCAAGCAGAGGTGAGTTAGAAAGAAGGGAATAATCTACTACTGTAGTTTATTTTACTCAGTATTAGGACTGTTTAGAAATCTGTGTGCTTGAACTCCTCAAAATGCACCATCTAAAATGTTTACAGAAAAGAAGAAAAACTGTCAGGTCAGAATTATCACATTTGCTTTATAAAACAGACAATGGACAGTTACGCACCGTTTTTTTTCCAGGTAAGACTGGGTGGTGGGATGCCACTAGACTCACATATCAGGCTTACCAAGCTCCCTTCAGTTACTGTCAGTTGAGAGATGTCATCTGAGCCATAAATATTTGGTGACACTGAAAAGAAAGGCCAAATAATTGCAGCATTTGAAACAAAACATTATCAGCCAACAATAAGACCCAAATGACCCTCATACAAATTTGACCCATTATGCTCTGAAGCAATTACAAGGATTGTATTCTTTTGCTGACAACGCAAACCAGACCCTGGGTAGGGAATAACATACTTGCGAATGAGTGCACCTATCCTTCCAGCCTCTGAGGTCTGGTGCATGCATAGGCTCTATTTCTGGATGACTTTTGAATGGACTTCGCAGAACAAAGCTGTTTCCGTGAATTATGTAAACTGACTCCAGCTCTAAGAGCCCGCCTCATTCATGGTCTTAGCTAATAAACCTATAGATATTATCGTTAGGTGGAAAGTGACTTTTAAAATTCAGCCTTTTTTCCTTTGAATTTTTCCTGCATCAACACACTGGCTGCCACATCCAACGGTAAGGACCCCATCCCTTTGATTGTCCTGCGGTAGCAGAGGGCCAGCTCTGCTCTAGAGCTCTGGAACTGTAAACCAGTTGCAGACAAAAGGGACCACTGTTTTCACTCTGATTCTCAAAGTCTTAAAGAACGCCAGTTCAATCACTAGGGAAGGCATAATTGCCTTCTTGAAATCAGGGAATCATTTTCATCAGAGGAAAATAACATAGGTAAAGACCAAAAAAAGTAGAGGAGAATGTAGGCTGAAACTGGCAAATAAAATCTCATTAGTAAATAATTTATCCAGCGTATTTTTAATCCACATGACAGTAGACAGCTTCTCCTGTTGGACCGACACTTCAAACTCTTTATTTAGCAGCAACCAGATGTATGGGTTGCGGAACGGCTGACTGCAAAGGGCTTTATTGTACTGTACAGGCTTCAACCTTTTATTTCTCCTGCTTCTAGTCAAAAAGTTTGTGCTATTCTTGACAGAGGCACATCTTACATTTAACACATGGGCTGGCTCTTGGAACCAGAGTTAGCTCTCGGGATCTCACCAATCCTCAGAAGGATACATTTTCTGGATTTAAAACTTAAAAATATGGCAAGCAGGACTTTTGGTCCCTGGGTGTAAACAAAGACTCTAATTCTAAACAGTCATCCACAGATGACTTTCACAGGCAATTTTTGGTTTCTATTAAGTTTATTCCATCAAAGCTGCTAACTACCAAAGAATTATCCCTCCTCGCAAAATCCTACTGCAACGCTCTCGCTGCACAAAAGAACAAATCTATATCCCTCCAGCAGCAAAAGTCCTCTGCAACACCACAAATCTTACAAGTCTGGGGAGGGAGAGATGAGAGCTGAAGATGACATGCACAGTAAATGGGTATATGCGTTAGCACAGGAAAATTGCATGGTACTACAATATCCACCTCTAATTTAAATATCAGGAATGTTTCTTTTTAATAAATGATGACAGAATTCTGTACTAAAAATTGTAGTTTTACCTTTACAAACCCTGCTAGATAATTCTAGTCTTGTGATTTCAAAGCAAGAAATTAATTTGTAAGAGCAAAAGAAGGCACATTTCAATTCGCATATGGGGAGAAAATGATGGTGCAGAAAAAACACTCAAAATCAATTATTAAAATAAATGTCCTAAGCCATATTCATCATCTAGCCATAGAAAAATTTTACTAAAGCTATTTTTACGATTCAGCACTGATAACTTTGTAGATCATATAAAGCTAGGTAAACCAGCTTTTATTCATTTGAATTTCCATGCTTCAGCATTTTAAAAAGTGGTTACTTTTAATGGCATTGGAGTGCACAAATAGGAGCTATGGATACAAAAGCAGTTAGTTATAGCTCTAAACTGCTACCACGCATGCAAACCGAGCCTGACAAAGGCCTACAAAGTAGCTGGTATTAATTTAGAACCAAGCCAAAGCAATTTGAAAAATGCGTGCACTTTCTTGGGACTGTTAAGCTACAGCAAATATAATAACATCTCCCTGTGTGAACCTCAGCTATTAAATGTTTATGAACTACAGAGGATTTCAGTGTCACATCATAATTTCGCTCTGAGCTCCGTTCCCATTCCTGGAATAAGCTTAATAAATCTTACCCCAAATATTGACATTATAGTTCTTTTCAGTTTTCCCAGCAACATTTGTCGCTTCGCAAGTGTAACGGCCAGTGTCCTGTACTTGAGCTCCTTCAATCTAGGAAGAAAATGAAAACTGGATTTCTTCTTCTTACGTTGTTATACATGAAACTTGCAGGGAGAGGTTGCTCAGGTTTCAATTTTTATTTTTACAACTGTCTCCCTAAATTATTAATAATACAGTACCACTTCTGCAAAATCTATACACAAACATCCAGGTGTGGATCACCGACCTCCCTCCTCACCCACTACACTCTGTTGCACCAGAGGGCCTAACGCTATCCAGTCTGTAATGGGCATTTCACGCCTTCATGGTGGTTATGCTCCCCAGAAAGCAATCGCCAGCGGAGCCCGATTGCCCAGTTTACCTTCAGTACACTTCCATCTTCAGAGATGCTAAGACCTGGCTTCTTCAGCAAGGGTCGTCCGTCTTTGAGCCACGTCAGCACGGGCAGGGGGATAGCATTGCTTTGGCAGAGCAGCTCCACTGCTTGGCTGATGAGCACCGAGACATTTTGTTCCTCTCCCATGATGTTTGGTGGAACTACAGGAACAAAACAAAACAAAACAAAGGACCTTTGGGCACTGCAGACTTCCCAGAGTAAACACACTGTGGAGTTAACAGGCTTCACTTAACAAAACAAAAGTGACAGTTACTACCTTTCTAACACACAACTTAAGTTTCCTTTATATCGCAAAAAGCACCGGAGTAATTTTTGTTATTTACAGAATATCCTCTACATAAGATACATGCTAGTGAACTATCAGCTACAGAGAAACCATGCAGATAAGTCAAGACTAGCAAAAAAATACTTGAAATACAGCTAGAAAGGAAAATCACCAGTATATAAAGAATGGGGAAAACCTGCTAGAAAGAAAAAGAGCTGATGAGTGAAAAGGCTCACAAGATAATAATCAGACCCAGAAGATGAAAATGTCTTAAACTGTTCCAGATAGTGTCAAGACAGATACTTGGCTTTAAGGAGAACTCTGACTTTTAAGAAGAATTTTGTCCAGAGATGGTCAAATACAGAAGACAGAATGAGAACTTACATGGTTGCAGCCAAGTGAGTGGGTTAAGGACTTAATCATCAAGTCATAATTTACAATTACTTTATTGTCTACCTGTTTTGTGTGGTATCTGCTAGCTAGTTATTGCAATTGTTGGCACTGAGCACTATATTTAGATTCCTACTCCAGTTTCACTGATAACCTTATTATTACACTATCATTTCCAAATTATAAGGTAGAAAAATCAGCTTTTGGAATGAAAGTTTTCTACGTAGAACAAAAGAAAAATGTTTCTGGACATTTACATTGAAACTCATTAGCTGTTCTTCAACAGTGTCAAGATTTAAGAAAACGCATTTTTTGCCACTATTTTTAAAATTATTTGTGTTTCCACAGTCAGAAAAACAAAGCAATTGAGAAGGCAACTGAGAACTAAACCTTGGAACACAGCAAGTCAGCAATTTTCCATGGGGTAAGTGTTTACTGCTGGAGTCCAAAAGAACACAGAGGAAATATTAGATTCACAAGATGAGCTTTAAATTAGAAGATTAAACACCGAAAACCGTTTACCATCTATGGTTTTGTAACAGTCTTCATGATCAAACTGAGTGTCCTTTGGTAACGGCACGCTGTACCGTCGGTCGGAGGAAGTTTTCTGAGACTCTTCAGGCAGCTTTGAGTTGTTGACAGAACGTTGCCACATTAAGAGTTTTAAAGTATTTCAGTGGCAGACACAGGCTGGCTTGGAAAATGGCAAGAGGCTATCGTGCCCTGCACTGCTGCTGCTGCTTACCACCAGCTCTCTACCAGAGGCTCCCTCTCCTAGATCAGAGGCAGTGGGACAGAACTTGGACACGTTCATCATGCAGACCACGGCAAGTCAGGTCCTTCCATCTGCATCATTAACACAGGTAACTATAGCAAACCGCAGAGAGCAGAAGTGATTTACTGGGCTGCTCAAGCACAATCCTGAAGAGAATTCCCATTCATGCCCTTAATGGCATACATGTTCTTAAACCCTTAAAACAACCCATAGGGATTCCCTTTCCTTTGTTGTCATTTAAAAACGTAAAGCATGTTCATTGTAAATTCTTGACATTCATGCAACATTAGATCTGCAATTAAAAGATTTACAAGATCAAAACTCTCCTAGCAAGATTTACTTTGTCTGGTTTACATGTATCCAGTGGGATTTTTTGCTTGTTGTGTACTAAGACTATTCAGTCTGCCCAAAAAAAGTGGACCGTGGTCAAACACAAGAACCTTTATTGTCGCATTCCCTTCGCTTTTTAGATTTGCAATCCATTACTCCAGAAATTGCATGTCTGATTGCACAAAATATTGAGGTAAGAAGAAGGGAAGCAGTGGGACTGCCTGTGAGAAATATTCTGGGCTTCACACTCTGAACAAACAGATACTAAATTAATTAGCACACACGAGATTATAAAATGTCCCAAAGTGGTACTCAATAAACCAGCGATACAGTTCTCAAGATGTTCTGAAAAATAACATTAACAATAAAGCTTTGTTTTTCTTGCACAGGAATTATTAAGCAGAGCAGCTGATTTCACAGTTTGGAAATAATTTAGGGAAAAGTCTGGTCTCGGTGGATAAGAAATATAGTAACTGAAAAAAAAAAATAAATCTGTTTATCTTACTTTCTTTGTAGAATTCACAAAGGCCCAGATTCTTTACAAGTGTTGTGGAACTGCAAATTGGAAGCTGATCCATTACTGCAGAAGGCAAAATTATTTCCAAATACTTTTCCACCAATAACTTTTCCTCTCAGCTAAATGAATTGCAATGTGTTCAAAAGGAAGCTGAGTTTATGAAACAGAGACAGACACTAAA